TGACTCTCTCTCTCTCTCTCTCTCTCTCTCTCTCTCTTTCTCTTTGTCTGTGTCCCCCTTCCCCCTTCGCCCTCCTTCTCCCTCCTCATATTCATTTTCATACTTTAGAACATTGGATGGAGAATGATATTATGATACGCGCTCTCTTCTTTCCTTTCACTGTCATCATCATCACTGCATCACGAACAAACACTTTCCTCCTTTCCCTCTCTTGGATAGCCGCTTGATTTTGTTCCATGTCTTCCCACTTTTCTGTACATCATCCTCTGTGACTCTTCTCCAGGTTTCACTTGTTCTTTCCCTTTTCCCGCTACCCTGTGACTGGGTTCCAATCTAACATTTTCTTTGTTACGCAGCTGTCTGGCTGCCTGAGAGTTCTCTCACTATCACTCTTATCTTACTCTAGCTGATGTATTTCCGCCGTGACCGAGCCAACTTGATGTTAAAACACAACAAGCATACCCCTCAGTACACCTGTAAAATAGTAAGACACCCCTTACACCTTCCTTGATTTCAAATGTATTGATCAGGTCTCTCCTTTAAGTCAAGGCACATCAACGAAGTCAAAATCTGAAGTAGTTCTTAGTTCTTGGGAAATCAACTTCCTCTGTGTCAACTGCCTAGACAAAGCTGCATCATGCATTCCGCTTTAAGACCGTCTGTTCTGTTAAGTCACAAAAAGGCCATACATAATATATACACACACACACATTTTTTGTAAATTCCTCGTACACACAAGTTGCTAAAAACGTTCTTAACTCTTTTTGATATCCACACGCTATTTCCCTCCTCCTTCTCATCGATTGGTTAGTGCATCGCCCTGGGCGCGCCCTGCATCCCTGGAAACAACCTCCAACCGTGCTGTGAGGTACTTGGTCAGCACTGCATCAGGAACCCGTTCGTTCCAGGAACATTCACATGCCAAGTTTCAGCGTCCGTGAGTATAGTTTGGGCTTAATATCCCTTTCAGCACAGGAACACATACTGTGTTTACCTCATGTTCATTTATATAAGCAATGCCACAAAGTTTAAAGGAATTGGTTTGGAAGTAATATTCACGCGCTTTCATAACATTGCTATTCGAAACATCAACTGATTCCAATATTTTTACGATGAGTATATACCTATTGTTTCTCTCTGCGATCTCGGAGCATAATGACATCACAAGCATCATTTGACAAAATTAACTTTGTGCACATCACATGACGCCACGAACAAAGAAAAGTATAAAAACAATACCGCTGTCCATTTCCGATTTAACCAAACGACGTAGCCTGTGCGTAGAGATTTGAGAGCTTCCCGAACATTCCAAGTTCAGGAATGTCCCATTTGAAGTTCAAACCTGTGTGATCATCATCCCTTGCCCAGCATGATACTGTGGCAAACTCCTCTCTCCTAAAATTGGTCTCATTGGCCACAGCAGAAGCTTGGTTGATTCACCATGCAATGTTTTCTGTGCCATTATTTGTTTTGTTATTGTTTACTTTCCCTATTTAAAAAATCCTCTTTCCTCCCCCCCTACCTCTCTG